GTAAGAACTCTAACAATTAAAGATGAATACCTAGCCCGAAAAGATAATCAAATCTAAGTTTCTTTATTTCTTTATAGTTGTAAAGAGAACAATCCACCTGCTTTGGGGCTCAGCATCCTACTAAGTGTTTCACTTTATACAATTTGTATACAATTTGCAACAGCCCAAGATAACCTCCCGTATATATTGTCTGTTTTCTCCATTACTTATTGCAATCAACCTCACGATACATATTCTTATACTTCGTTTCGTTCCCATCTCAAACCAGTGTGAGATCTCACAGTGGCCTCCTCATTTTGAGACATTATATCTTTGGAGTTGAGCTCGGTAATAAAGAAGGAAAACATAAAAACTTGGGTACACAACATAATAAAATACTACCCTCATGATTAGACCATAACACTTGAAAATTGAGGTGTGTAAGAACGAAAGGTACGATTCTATTGTCCAAAGGTTGTTCATCCAAAGCTTAGGATAAAGAATAACATTAAAGTTGTAATGGTAGGGAAGGACGCCCGTTCCCAGCTTACCTCACTCTGAGGTCGGCCAAGTGTGCTCACCATCTATAATTATGAACAAAAATACTGGATGAACACTGACATAAGCAGTAGAAAACAACAAGTTATGTGAAAAATAACACCCAAAAGTAAACAAATGAAAAAACTTATAAGACTCGTTTCAGAGACATATCGTCGAACACCTTACAAGCATAAACAAAAAACTCGCCAAAAAACAGAATGCCACCTTTCGTATCTTCTCTCACACAACAGCAATGCACTACCAGAAATCCAAACCCATTAGAACATAAAAACAACCCCACCTCAAGCTTGACTCAACATTCAGATCCAAACAAAAAGTTTTAAGTCTCAGAGACATTCATCAAACACCTTACGAGCATAAACCAAATACTAACCGAAGCAACTAAAATCTTCGACAAAAAAGGGGAAAAAAAACTTCCATCTTTCTCATCTTCTCACACTTTTAATAGCACAAATCCAAACCCCATTCAACCAAATCCCAAAATGCAATGAGGCTAAAAAAAAAAAAAATCTTTTTGAGTCTGTCAGACCGCCCATGCGACCATCCCAGCCGTACCATGTCGGCCAAGAACGATCCTCTACAGCGGCAGGACCTAAAGTCCATTGAGCCGTTAATCACGCTCTAGTCGCAGGGCAATGGTTCATCCACCAGACTTTTGTTCTTGTCTCCTTAGAACTCAAGGACACAGTTGTACAACCTATAGAACAGATCCTGTTCAAGTAAGGTCGTGCCCTTCCAGCTTTCTCTCTTCGTTTAAATATTATTAATCCAAGGTGACACTTTCCGATGTGGGATATGACTACTTTGATTTAGGCCTAGAAATAATGTGGCGGCTAACTAATATATCTATATTATTTATTGGAAAATGTTTTTATTTTTTAAAAGAATTTCCCTATATATTTTCGAGTTGGGTTGTCCGGTTGTCAACTTTAAAAAGAATTTTAAAAATTTATTTATCCACATTTTATAATTATTCCATAGAATTTTAGGTAAAAAATATTAAAAGTTCAACAAATACAAATCAATCTATAATAATTCAAAAAAAAAAATTATCAACAATAAACAAGAGAAAATTGTAACATCTTAACATAATTCAAGGTTATTATAGAACTAAATACAACTAAATAGGGATCCTAAGGAAATGATAGATCATCAAAATAAAAAAACAATAAAAATGATTAGTTTTAAGAAACAGTTTTATGTGTTAAAGAACTCCTAAATTAATTAAGAATTCTCTCACGAATACTAAAAGTTGATCCAGAAGCTATTGTAAACACGATAAAAATATACTGAACAACTTTTGATAAAATTATTTATTTAAATTCATTTACTTTTCACCAAGTCGAATGAGAAAAATGATAGATGGAAAGTAAAATGAATTCTAAAGTAGTTTTCCAATCAACACAAGTATAGAAATTTCGAGTTTCAAAAAATTGATTTAAGAATACTTAGAAAGCAATATGCTTTAAAATTAAGCATTGAACGATAAAACGATAGTGTTAGGATGACTCTAAAAGTAAGGATGATGATAGATTGATAGAACGATAGCGTTAGGATACGTTCCTGTAAGGATATGACTAAGGTACGTTCATGTAACGATATGATTATGATAGATATAAAGGCTATTGATAAGTTAGAGAGCGATATGACAACAAAATGTTTAAGATATGATATGATTATGATATGACATATGAATGACGGATATATATATATATATACATATACATATATTTTGTGATTTGATATGAAATATGTTATGGTACGAGATATGTGATAATTGACATGTTTATGATATGATATATTGTGATGCGATATGTGGTATGATATGTAATGATGAAAATTGTTATATCTGGAAGCATGGAATGCTATGATATAATATATTTATGTAATTTGAATGATATGATGTGATTGATATGCAAAACGACGAACTAGCATGAAATACAATTTCGACATATGCATAAAAAATGTGTGATGATATGAGAAATGATATGATATGTACGGAATGCTAGCGGGGTTGTATTAAATGATAATAAAAATAGAAAAATGTTGGAACCTCATTTCTTATTGTGTGTTCATGCATTGGTGATACCTCTTACCCTTCACGATAGTACAGACGTGTATATTACGAGGCAGAAAAACAATCATTATGGTTATCATAATGCTACGATGACCAAGCAGAAAAACGTTCATTATGTTTATTATAATGCTACGACTGTTAGGAAGGAAAACAAACATTATGTTTAACCTAATTTTGTCGTGCTGGTTACTAGTTCTAACGGTGTCCAGTTTAAGTAGATCCTAGAGTATGCTCGCACGACAAGGAAAGTGGCCCAACGGTGTGTGAACTGACTGGTGAGTCCATACTCGCACGTATGGGCTGTGTGTAGAGTATGTGGTACACGTCCAAGTTACACGTTAGGATAGTATCGAAGGAAAATAGACTGAAAAGACAGGTCATTACATTCACATGTTCTTGCATTTAAAGCCCCAATAGTGGGGTGACTTACTAATTATTTATTTAAATACTTAAGTCACTTATGTTTCAGGTTAAGATAAGACATTCATGTACGACTGACGAGACATCACAACTTGAGACCATGGAACATGCATAGGGTAATCGTATTTATTTTCTTAGACTTAGACTAGAATAGGATGTTTTTAATTTAAAAATTTATTTATTTTGTTTAGTCTTTTGTTGTGTCATCTTTTAAAGGTGTTTTCAAACCACATAAGTCAATGGCTGTGTTTTAAGATGAACGTGACGGTTTATGAAAGTTCAAATGAAATATTTCTGCATTCAATGATCATGATATGTATACAGCGACGACCTTAAATTAAGTAGAAAATTACATGTCGTTACACGTTAACCATCTCCTAGAATATTGGGTATCTAAATGGGAGGATTTTTATCTAAATTTGTCCAGCCTTATATGGGTGTTTAAATTATATCAAAACAGAGTTTATACATAATTCTTTAGATAAAAATTGAGATTTACCTTATATGGAAGGTAAATCTCAATTTTTATTTAAAATTTTAGAAGATTATATTTTTGTTGTTTTAGAAATCAAGGGTAATATTCATTGACACTCCTCCCCCAAATATCTCTCCTCAATTCAATACCTACTGTGACTGACTATTAGACAATTTTGCTAAAAAGAAAAAAAATAAAAGTATAATTTATTCTAACTTTTATAATAAGATTTGTTTACCTTTTATTCAAAAGTTCCCTTGCCTATGAATATTAACATTATATAATTTAACAATCATGGACATAAATTGTAACACCCGATCTCCGATTGGAAAGATGTGTCTTCTCATTGATATTGATATCTTTTAAATAGGATATAAGCCAGCAACAAGTGAGGAAAATATAAAATAATTAAATACTGAAAATAAAATAAAATATACGGTAAATCAAATCATAAATAAAGAATATTAAGATATAATATTTAAGATATATTTTATAATAATATATATTCTAAATATTATATCTCAATAAACCCAAAACCTAATTTTTTTTCAGAACCTATAGAAAGCATAAAAAAATCCTTCACAAAACCTATAGAAAGCATTCTACACCATTGAATCGTCCAAAACCGTCAAAGAACGAAGAAAATCCATATGTAAGTTCTTGAATCGTTGTTTTCAAATTTTCCTCAGATCTGTGAGAAATATTGAGCATTAAATTCAAAATTTTGAGCATATTAATCTAGAGAGGATTGGGCTCATAATCCGTGAACGAAGTCCTGATAGATTAAGATTGGAAATAGTAGTTCTGGAGTTCGTCAAAGAATGTAGGTATTGATGTTTCTTGATAACTTTGGACTGAGCTAATTATCACCGTGGTTAGAAATAAATTACAAGAAAAATACCTACTTGTAGACAAATATAAACTCTACAAATCTTGTGAAAGAAATAAAAAAATGCAAAGAAAATGGTAAATAATCGATTTTCTGGAAAATCGCAGAGTTGAGAGGAAGAAGACGAACGACAAAGGGACGCATGTCAGGCACGGAGAGGTTTGCGCGTCGCCAAAAATGAGGACGCGTGTCACGCGTGCATTGATTTATAAAAAATTAGGAAAATACTACGTCGGGTAGGATTAGAAGACCGATACTCGCTCCAAACACGAGAACCCGCGCACGACCCGGCCTCCCGACCCGATGCCTTGCCAGCGTCCGCCGCGTGCTTCAGGGATCGAACCCACATCATTAAAGTCGTATGAACCATTCAGTCGGCGACACGTGTTAAGTGCACCACTGCGTCTTCCCTCCCTCATGGGCGTCTGTACGCACGCGTTTGTGCACGTGGGTGACTCCCTTTAGCACGTGGGTGCGTGAATCAGCGCGTGAGACCCCTTTTATCTCGATTTAACTTTCATTCGACTATTTTTCATCTCGATTTTGGTACTCATCTAAATTTAACTTGATTTAAGACCTATCAGCAAACTTTCATGTGATTGGAGCTCCCAATTAGCCGAAAAGTAAGCTTCGTAGGGCACGCTCCATTCCGATAAGTAACCGCACAAAATTAGGAAGTAATACTTGTAGGGTGCGCTTGGTTTTGCATGCATGCTAGAGAAAATTACCCCTAGGTGGCTAGATCTAATGATTCTCTGTACTTATGAAGTTAAATATATATATCTTTTTGACTTGTTGCCCTAATGAGATTTCACACTTGATGTTTGTCTACTTGCTGGACTATCTTACTACTGCTTTAATCTGTCATACTATGTTGGCAAACGAGAGAAACTGTGTATCTGTGATCCGGGTGTTGATGAATGTTAACGCTCCGTTGAGCTTGTATGACTGTATGAATTTTTAATCATACATAAGCTCCTGTTGAATGATTGCGTGAACTTATGATATGAATGATAAACTGTAGTGTTGTGTTATGCCTAGGGTGTACTCTTGTAGGGGTTTAGTTGGGTTTAGATGGGGGACCCTCCCGATGTTACAATCAGTGGTGTCGTGAGGGGCGCTTAGAGGGAGAGACTCTTTAACCCTAGATTGTTATGGACTTGGAACTCTTAATTGAGTGAATTTGGAAGCCAGGGCCCTAAACTCAATAGTTTTAACTACCATTGAGACATAGAGAACCACGTTAGGACCCCGAGGTGTAGAGAGATAATTCCTTAGCCGATAGTAGCTGGTATAGCGTTCGAGTATACTCCACTTCCCTTCCTACTCTAGTGTGGTACTGTTGTGCTAGGCGAGACGCCAGTTAAGAAGGTGTTACTCTTCCCTTCCTACTACGGTATGGTACCGTTGAGCTTGGTGAGACGCTATTAGGGAAGTGTTACTTAGTGGTAGATCGACTACTCTGCATGGGGATCCGTCTTATGGTAAGATGTTGATCACGAGGGTGGGTCAAGGTTGCCTGCATGATGAGTCCGTCCTGTAGATGAACGTTGACCATGTAGTGACTAATTCTAGATGGGTTGTACGAGGGGTACATGTAGTTATGAGGGAGCACCTCATCCTCAAACACTGAATATCGCTTCAAAGGTTAAGTCCTTCCACCCCGTACTGTGTACTGAGAGTACCGAGATTCTAGGGCCTAGAGCATAGTTGGTGGTTCTCTCCTAAAATTGGATGCGATTAAGAGCCTACACGTAGGTTGCTTACTGAGTATATTTTTTCACCCCGTTTCCCTTTTTTTTTTTTCAGATACTGTTTGAGGTGGGTTGTGATGGAGTTAATATAACACATGCGAAAGCAATTTAGATCTTAAGGATCTCTTAGAACATCAATTATAGTTAATAACTAGCATGTTTATAAGTATTAAAACTCAAGGTGTTGGAGTACTAACCTTTTATAGTTTAAATTCTTTTTTCCTCACGAACTGGTTTCAAACCACCACTAGCGTCTTCTCCACTATTCTCCGACCTTATAACGGATTGTGGAATCTGGTGAGTGACTAAATTTGAGAGGGATTTAGTATATATGAAGAGAGAGTTTGTGAGAGTTTTTCTCAAGGTTTTTACTAGGGAGACCTTCCATGTACCTTGATCACTCTATTTATAGAGTTATGTTTGCATGTTCATACAAATTTGAGATCATCAAATTTTGACACTCAAAATTCCACTCAAATGTTTGAGATTATGTGGCAAGCATGCAAGTTTGGTTAAACCAAATTTTGACACCTCAAAATTCCACCAACTCAAACATGGATTTTTCCCTTAGATAAGTCAACATTTTGCCTTTCTTCATTTTAATTCAACAATTAATTTGAATAATTAATTTCAAATTAAAGTAATATTAAATGATTAATTAACGATTTAATTAATATTTAATAGTAAATAAATGTCAATCTCAGTAAATTCCGGCACATATTAATTATGAATACCTATTAATAATTAAAATATTTAAATCTTATTAAAATATCTCCAATTCTCTCTTTTTGTTTAATTCATAATTAAAACAAAAATGCGGTTAAATATATCGTAGTGCATATTCCCTAATTTGAATTCGAACACTTCGAACTCACTCGTCACACTGTTCTATGGTTTAGTTCGATATGAGCTAGCAGAGGGACCTAATGGACCTAAATCTTGGGCTCTAACGATCCGAGATTAACCAGCTAAACTCATTAACCTTGTTAACCAACATTTGTGAACTACTAGGACACTCCACTATAGCCTAGTAGTTGCACTCCCATCACTATAGATATATTTCTGTCTATTTGATATAACCAAGATTAGTAAGTCGATCCTTCACAAGTTGTTCGTAACTAGAGGTAGGTCAATTTACCGTTTTACCCCTAAGGTTACTTCTTGTTCCTTAAGTCTCACTAATCCTCTAATGAACAATTGGTTTGTGGTACAACCACCAAACCGAATCCCTCTCGGGCCAATGAGAGGGTGGGGCCCCTTGTTCAAGACTTGGAGTCAGTACTTAAGCGAACAACCTCTCTACTATCCTTAAAAGCGGGTAGGAGCGAATTCTATCTTACCCCTGAAATGGGAGGCTTATTGAGTCGGCGAACTCGATCTACTCCCACTCATGCAAATCTAAGAATACTTCCGAATAAACAGGAGTTCATAGTTAACTTAGGATTATGATCGAATAACCTAGGTCATAGAATGAAAAAATCAGTCTCACCAGTAAACGACATTATAAAGTGAGAGTGATTTTCTTCATGGTCCTATCTTATGCAATACTCATGACATAGGACGCTCCCAGTTACATGTCTCACATGTACAATTTAATGATCGCATTTTTTATATTATATACAAAAGTGGGCCGCATTCATAGTGTCCCCAGGATAAGGTACTCAGCCTTATCCATGTACTATAGATCATTTTGACTATATACTTGAACTTGATCCACTCTTATGTCTCTACATATAGTTCAAGTAATCATAATCTAGCCAGAGTATTCTTAATTTATTGGATTTAGATTAATGATCGTAAAATTCACTTTATTCCATAATGATCTTTAACTTTATTGAAAATAGAATATGTTTTTGTTTACAAACTATGAGTTTTAGGACATAAAACCCAAGAAACTCCCACTTGGACTAAAACTCTAGTGGGGTTTTATAATGTTGAGTAGAGAGAAAGACATAAATACAATAAACTAGGGCATCACGTACCCATGCATTTTCTCCCACTTGCCCTAGATTACATAACTCGTAGTCCTAGACTCACTAGGTGCCTTTCAAACACTTTTGCCGCGAAGGGCTTCGTAAATGGATCTGCAATGTTGTGCTCTAAATATATCTTTGTGACGATCACATCTCCTCGTTGCAAAATCTCCCTTATGAGATGATATTTGCACTCAATATGTTTTCCTCTCTTATGGCTTCTTGGTTCTTTAGAATTTGCAACTGCTCCACTATTATCACAACAAAGAGTGATAGGCAGATGCATATTTGGAACAATTTTCAAATCAGTTAAGAACTTCCTAAGCCATACAGATTCTTTCACTGCTTCACAAGCAGCAACATACTCGGCCTCCATGGTGGAATCAGCAATGCAAGTTTGCTTTCTACTTCTCCATATTATTGCTCCTCTGTTCAGAGTGAAACCAGATCCCGATGTCGATTTCCTCGAATCGATATCGGTCTGAAAATTTTAGTCAGTGTACCCTGTAAAATACTTGAGGATATTCTTAACGACAGTCCAATGAGCACGTCTTGAATTGGACTGATATCTGCTGACAATTCTCACAGTATAACATATGTCGGGTCGGGTACATAGCATGGCATACATCAGACTACCGATTGCTAATGCATAGAGATTGTGTCTCATATCCTCAACTTCGTGAGGTGTCTTAGGACTTTGTTCCTTTGACAAATGAACTCCGTGTCTGAAAGGTAATAATCCTTTCTTGGAGTCCTGCATCTTATATCGAATCAACATTTTTTCGATGTACGATGCCTGAGACAATGCTAGTGTTTTGTTCTTGCGATTCCGAACAATTTGGATTCCAATATCAAACTGAGCCTCTCCCAAATCTTTCATTTGGAATTGTGTCACTAGCCAATGCCTAATGTCAGTCTGAAATCCCACATCATTCCCAATGAGTAGGATATCGTCAACGTATAACACCAGAAAAACTACAGTAGAGTTGACTATCTTCTTGTAAACACAAGGTTCGTCAACATTCTGTTTAAAGCCATAGGATTTGATCGCAGTATCAAACCTTATATTCCAGGATCGAGATGTTTGCTTCAACCCATAAATGGATCTTTAAAGCTTGCAAACCTTTTGCTCGTGACCCTGTTCAATAAACCCCTCTAGTTGAGCCATATAGATACTTTCCTCAAGATTGTCGTTTAGAAAGGCAGTCTTGACATCCATTTGCCAAATTTCCTAATCATAAAATGTGGCAATGGATAACAGAGCAACAGGAGAGAAGGTTTCTTCATAGTCCACCCCCTCTCTTTGGGTATAACTTTTTGCTACAAGTCGAGCTTTAAAGGTTTGTACCTTATCAGTTTGGTCTCGTTTCCTCTTGTAGATAAATTTTCAACCCATAGGTTTTACCCCATCTGGTTGATCTACAACTTTCCAGAATGACTGAATTGAAGTACATAGAATCCATTTCAAGATTCATGCCTTTGATCCACTGATCTATATCTTCATCATTCATTGTCTGTTCATAGGTCAATGGATTCTCAATGCCATCATTGGGTATGATGACTTGAGTTTCTGCCAAACCTAAGTAATGATCGAGTTGAGTTATAACCCTCCCACTACGTCGAGACATTCTCAACTCTTGAGAAGAATGTGATTGACCAGAAGTGGCAGCTTGATCAACAACTCTTGTTTTTTTATCAGTAGCTTCTTTAAAAATCTCACTTAATACTAGTTTGTTGCGAGGTTGATGATTTCTTACGTGGTCTTTCTCTAAGAATGTATCGTTTGTTGATACAAACACTCTATTTTCTTGAGGGTCATAAAACAAACCACCTTCCGTCTCTTTGAGGTATCTTACGAATAGACATAATTTTGAACGACATTCTAATTTCTTGGGGTTTTGCAACAACACATGTGTTGGACATTCCCAAATCCTGAAGTGACGTAAACTACCTATACGCCCTTTCCATAACTCATAAGGTGTTTCTGAAACACTCTTAGAAGGAAACATGTTCAAAATGTATGTAGCAGTCTCCACTGCATATCCCCAAAACGGATCAGGTAATTGCGTGAAACTCATCATAGACCGAACCATGTCTAACAGAGTTTTATTTCTCCTTTGTGATACACCATTTTGTTGAGGCATACCAAGGGATGAGAGTTGAGACCTTATTCCATGTTCTATCGTATAGTCTTGAAATCTTAAGTCCATATACTCTCCACCTCGATCTGATCGAAGTGTTTTAACAGTTTTACCTAATAGATTCTCAACCTCAGTCTTATACTCTCTGAATTTTTCAAAAGCTTCGAACTTGTGATGCATTAGGTAAAGATAGCCTTACCTTGAATAATCATCAATAAAACTGATGAAATATTCATACACTCCTCGTGCTTTGACATTCATTAGACCATAAAGATCTGTATGCACGAGTTCTAAGGTTTCTTTAGCTCTATAACCTTTTTCGGAAAACGGTCGTTTAGTCATTTTACCCTCAAGACAAGACTCACATGGAGGTAAAGAGTTGTCTTCTAACTCATTTAGAAGTCCTCTTTTAACCATCTCTCAATCCTATTGAGATTAATGTGGCATTGTCTTAAATGCCAAAGATAGGTATTAGAAAAATCTTTTATCGTTTATTTTGAGTTTCAACTGTTCTAAAAAACACCTCGGTATTTAAAATAGCTTTTGTTTCGCTCGGTTTTAACATATATAAGTTGTTTTCTAGTTTTGCAGAACAAATATGAATACCTCTTTTGCAAATGAACACTTCATTGATTTCAAAAGATACTTTATACCATTGTTCTAATAAACAAGAGATAGATATTAGATTTCTTTTCATTTCAGGAACAAAAAGTACATTATCTAATATAATGAATCTATCTCCAAAAAATAATTTTAAATTTCCTACCGATCTTGCTGAGACAACCTCTCCTGTTCCAACCCTGAGTGTTATCTCGCCGTCCGCAAGCATTCTCTAGGAGCTAGTTTCCTCGAAAAAAGAACAAATATGATTAGTGGCCCCTGAATCTAGTGCCCAAGTTGAGTTATCATACTCTACTAAACATATTTCTACAACGAGTAAATCATATTTACTTTGTTGTGTCTTTTCTGCTTTCTTCTCTACAAGGTATTTTGGGCAATTTCTTTTCCAGCGCTCATTTTCGTTGCAATGGAAACATTTTCCTTTATCTGCTTTTTGAACCTTGTGTTTGCGGTCAGTAGGAATCTTATTTTTTCCTTTACCCTTCTTCTTCTTCATCAAAACACTTTTAGAAGTTGAAGGTCCAGACTTATTTTTGGAGGACGATCCTCGTAGTAATTTCTTAGAGATAGCAACATTTGCTTCTCCTTTTTGTCCCTTGTTCGTTAAGAGGGACTAATAAGTCTATAGCTCATTGAGAAGAGCAGTCAAGTTATATTCTATCTTGTTCATTATCACATTTGTGCGGGACTGCCTTGACTCTTCTCATCAATGACAGCTTCATTTTCTTCTGCCACATTGAAATGGACCATCATGTCCAGGACATGTTCTCTAATAGAGGTCCTTTCCTTCATACGGCAGTTGTAAATGTATTTTATGACGTCATGTCTAAGGGAGAAGGACGGTTGTCCAAACATCCCTTTCAGAGATTCCATAATCTCTTTAGTAGTACCAATGACATCGTGTTTCTTAGCCAAAACATCAGATATGCTAGCTAAAATGTACACTCGGGCTTTGTCATTTGCCTTTGTCCATTTGTCATATGCATCCTGAACTGTTCGGTTTGCATTTAACCTGGGGTTTGAAGGAAATTCCTCAGTTAAAACAAACCTTAAATCATAAATTACAAGTATTGTGTTTAGGTTTGATTTCCAAGTTGCATAATTGTCGCCGTTTAATTTCTGAGAAGCGAGTAATTGTACTATTGAGTTTGTCATGCTGTGATATAAAGAAAATTCTATTATTGATTTGACTTAATCGTGTTTAATCCAATCAGGTTTAGCAAATGTAATAATGTACCCAAAAATTATTAATTTGCAACGATACTTTAGTGAGTTAGAGCAACTTTTACCGAGGGGCAGTCAATCACTCCTTCACTAAACCAAGACATTCATGACTGAAACACTAATCCCAGAATAACTTTTGTTCCTATTGTGTTTTAGTTATCTCTATTTTGGTAAAAAAAAAATATACTAACTCTTAGTAATTCTTCGTAAGTGTGACCCACCATTTTCAGACCTCAGAGATCGGTCCCAACAATGCTATCAAATGAAAAAGCCAAAGTTGGGAATGGACCTAAGAAATCCTATCCATTTCTGGAGTTTGCGTTGTTTCGACTCCCATGTTACGACCCTCCGAATGGGTAGTTGCTCTAGGACAACATGCAGGCGAAACATGGGAATCTCACGGTGCAACCTAGTGGTGGAGACCATAAGACGTGTTGATATACTTCCTTCTCCCACTTACTATAAATACTTTCTCTATTCACCTTGTTATTAACTCATGCAAATACCTTCCGAATGGAGGACGTTCCCAGGGCAACACAAGGCTGAGCATGAATCTCACGGTGTGAATGTTTTAGAGAGGGTAAAAAGAAAACGATGTATCTCATATTCCTTTTTCCTCCCACTAAGTATTTTAGACGGTTGGGTATACTCATTACTTAGGTATATTCTGGCTAATTAAATATAACATAAGCCTAGGTGATTTTTCTAAAACTTACATCACTCAAGCATGCTCATAAAACTAGGCTAACTACGCTCAAGTATTTGTCCGATCTCCAAGTAGTAAGTGTTCCGTAAATCGTCAACTTAAGTACCTCCAGCCTTAGACAAGCTTGTGCCAGGTGAGCTTTCTTGTAACCGCAATTTTACAAGACATCGGCCTATTTTAACTATTAAAATTGATCGTGCTTGGTTCTTAACCCTAAGTGAGCATGCACTTATCTTTATTATAGATTTTAACATCTATCTCGTTTTATGACGTTGAAAATAACCTATAACATCCATCTAACATGCTTTAGATAACAATTATATAATCATCCATTTCATGCAATAATATAATAATTAAAAATAACTTGAATCGCTCCCGAGGATCACGAACTGGGTGAACCAACCCTTAAAAACGTTGAACCGGACCCCAACGACAGAAAAAACACCCGAACCTCCTCTTCCAACTTCTTCTTCAGTTCAACTTGCTATCTCTTACATTTTTGATCAATTACAATCTAAAATGGACTCTAATGACTCCATAAAAATTAGAGACCTTTCTTTACTCATTAAAGCCCACACACATTAGGCTTGTTACAATAATTATATCAAATGGAAGCATAAAAAAAAAAAAAAAAGTCAAAACCAAAAACATCCACTTTAACCACAAAATTTCATTCATGAAATAGTACCCACCATGCTCAAATTAATGCAAATAAAGTGTCTAAAACTTGCTTTGATACCAATTGTTGGAGTTAATATAACACATGCGGAAGCAATTTGGATCTTAGGCACTCTTAGAACATCAATTATAGTAAATAACTAGCATGTTCATAAGTATTAAAACTCAAGGTGTTTAAGTACTAACCTTTTGTAGTTCAAATTCTTTTTTCCCCACGAACCGGTTTCGAACCACCACTAGCGTCTTGTCCACTATTCTCCGGCCTTAGAACAGAATTGTGGAATCTGGTGAGTGACTAAACTTGGGAGGGATTTAGTATATATGAAGAGAGTGTGAGAGTTTTTCTCAAGGTTTTTCCAAGTGAGACCTTCCATGTACCTTGATCACTCTATTTATAAAGTTATGTTTGCATGTTCATGCAAATTTGAGATCACCAAATTTTGACACTTAAAATTCCACTCAAATGTTTGGGATTATGTGGAGCACGCATGCTTGAGTTAACTAAATTTTGACACCTCATAATTTCACTAATTCAAACATGGATTTTTCCATTAAACGAAGTCAACATTTTGACTTTCTTCATTTTAATTCAATAATTAATTTGAATAATTAATTTTAAATTAAAATAATATTAAATGATTAATTAAAAAATTTAATTAATATTTAACCGTAAATAAAATGTCAATCCCAATAAATACCGAAACATATTGATTATGAATCCCTATTCGTAATTAAAATATTTAAATCTTATTTAAATATCTTCGATTCTCTCTTTTTGTTTAATTCATAATTAAAACAAAAATGCGGTTAAATATATCGTATATATGTAGCACATATTCCCTAATTTGAATTCGATCACTTCGAACTCACTCGTCACACTGTTCTATTGTTTAGTCCGATATGAACTAAGAGAGGGATTTAATGGACCTACAGATTATGGGCTCCAAAGGTCCGAGATTAACTGGCTAAACTCATTAACCTTGTTAACCAAGATTTGTCAACTACTAGGACACTCCACTATAGCCTAGTAGTTGCACTCCCCTCATTATAGATATATTTCTGTCTATTTGATATAACCACGATTAGTAAGTCGATCCTTCACAAGTTGTTCGTAACTAGAGATTGGTCAATTTACCATTTTATCCCTAAAGTTACTTCTTGTTCCTTAAGTCTCACTAATCCTCTAATGAACAATTGGTTTGTTGTCCAACCACCAAACTGAATCCCTCTCGAGCCAATGAGAGGGTGGGACCCCTTGTTCAAGACTTGGAGTAAGTACTTAAGGGAACAACCTCTCTACTATCTCTAAAAGCGGGTAGGAGAGAATTCCATCTTACACCCTATGTCCTCAGCTATTCACCCAGTCTTACCCTTGAAATGGAAGGCTCATTGAGTCGGCGAACTCGAGCCACTCTCACCCATAAAAATCTAAGGATAATTCCAAATAAACAGGAGTTCATAGTTAACTCAAGATTATGATCAAGTTACCTAGGTCATAGAATGAAAAAATCAGTCTCAACAGTAAACGACATTATAAAGTGAGAGTGATTTTCTTCATGGTTCTATCTTATGCAATACTCATTGCATAGAACGCCCCCACTCACATGTCTCCACATGTACAATTTAGTGATCACATTGTTTATATGATCTATAAAAGTGGGCCACATTTATAGTGTCCCTAGGATAAGGTACTCAGTCTTATCCATGTACTATAGGTTATTTTGACTATATACTTGAACTTGATCCACTCTTATGTCTTTACATATAGTTCAAGTAATCATAATATATCCAGAGTATTCTTAGTTTATTGGATTTAGATTAATGATCATAAAATTCACTTTATTCAATAACGAGAATAAACATCAATAATAACTTTATTGAAAATAGAATATATTTTTGTTTACAAACTATGAGTTTTAGGATATAAAACCCAACAGGGAGGTGTTAGAGAACTGCACTGTCACAAAGGGTTGTCGTTCCAGAGCGTCAGTCCGTTGTCGGTCTTTTAGAGTCTTTTGTATTTCATTTTATATTTGTAATTCCTTTTGTAATAATTTGAAACAAACCTTTATCTCTCTTTTGTTTTAATTAAATGGTATTTTTATCTTTTACCTTACTTTTCTTTCCTTTTCCTTTCTTTTTGTTTATTTGTAATTCCCGATTTTTAATTTGATCTAAGTCTAACTTTATTTAGGACCTATCATCGAACTTTCAAGAGTTTTAGAGCTCTTAATTAGCCAAAAACATAAGCTTCGAAGGGCACGATTCATTCTCGTAAGTAACCACACGGACGAATTTATGAAGTAATACTTGTAGGGTACGCTTGGTTTTGCATGCATGTTAGAGCAAATTATCCCTAGGTGGCTAGATCTAAAGATGCTCTATACTTATAAAGTTAAATTTATATCCGTTGGACTTGCGGCCTTTATGAGATTTAGTACTCGATGTTTGTATGCTTGCTGGACTATCTTTCTACTGCTTTTATCTGTTCATACTATGTGGGTGGACTCGAGGATTTGTGTATATGCGCTCCGAGTGTTGATGGATGATATTTCCCTGTTGAGCTTGTATGGTTGTATGTGTTGTTACTCATACATAAACTTATGTTGAATGATTGTGTGAACTTAAGATATGATTGATAAGTTGTAGTGTTGAGATATGCCTAGGGTGAACTCTTGTAGGGATTAAGTTGAGTTTAGTTAGGGGACCCTTCTAATGTGACAGTCTATGGTGTCGTGAGCGATGCTTAGAGGGAAGACCTTTTAACCTTGGACTGTTATGGACTTGGAAGTCTTGATTGATTGATTCCGGAAGCCAAGGCCCCTAACTAAATATTTTTAACTACTCTTGAGATTTAGAGTACCACATTAGAACCCCGAGGTGTAGAGAGATGATGATAAGCGCCAACAATGTTGGATTTTGCATAGCTAGAAGTTCTTTTATAATCCTTGCAAACGTTCACAAATAGGTTAGTGTACGTCCTACCTCCTCGTATACGTAAGCTTCTAAAATATAAATATAAGCTCCAAACTCCTTGTATACGTCCTACACTTCCGTTGGTGGTTAGTTCCTATTGGATCATCTGACACCTTTGTTAGTATTTCACAAACATAACTAATTTTCAACTATTTGTGAAATACGACTTAAAATGATCTATTTTACCTTAAACGGGGTCAAAATTAAGTTCAAGAGGGTCAGAGCGGTGTCGAACAGGTCAGAAATAGGTTTTCCAAGCCGAATAAGCCACCGTGGAGCTAATTGAGCTGTTGGAGCCAAGGGCTTTTTGCGCCAAAAGCTGACATGTAGCACATTCAGGAGGTAATGAGAGTGCAGACGATCTCGGGTTGTCGGGGTGCAGTCACGGGTCTAGGCTAAACTTTGTTGTTGGGCCGCGGTTTGTTTCGGTGGGCCTAGGGTTAAATCGTTTGGCCAAGAGGGTTTGGGTTGTAGCTTCGAGTCGCGGGTGAAGAATTAGGCCGAGGTGTGGACCGGGCTAGATCGAGGCTGTCTTTGGGCCGAGGG